TTTTTTTTTTTTTTTACTACAAGTGGTGTAAACAGAATGAATGAAGCCTATGGAGGTAAAGGAAGGTTCAGTCAATTGTACCACTTATGAAGTGTGTAATTTGAAGCAAATTCCCTAACACCTTTCATGTTTGGTTTCTGTAACTATAAAATAGGGATAATAATTTCTTTCCCATTTGTATCTGTATAACAGATCCAAGTAGACAATATATGCAAAACACCCAACATGATATCTGGCACATATTACAAGGAAACTGAGTTCCAGATTGGAACAGTGACCTGCTTTAAGGTCACATAGCTAAAAGAAGGACCTGTATTTTGAAAAGGGGGATGTGTGTGTGTGTGTGTGTGTGTGTGTGTTTCTATGATAAATTCCTTTTTCAGAGATGGATAGTTGATCTAACTTTCATGGATTACATTCTTTCTTTTTTAAGAATAAAAATTCAGTGAGTCAGTATAAAAGAATTGTGGTTTTTAAATAAGCATTTACGTCTACTCTGGGGAACTGTTATGCTTGTAGACTACAAATTGTTATATAATAATAACTTGTACTTCGTGGTCTACTAAATGCTTTCACAGACTTACATCATTTCATGCTTAGAACTTTAGTTTTCATATGTCACTGTGTAAAGCTCTTTACATTTTTGCTTGGGAAAAATGAAAGTTACTTTGCTCTTCCCCTTGAAGCTATTTAATTTCTGATTAGGTTTTTCTGTTTCCACACATCTTTTAAGTTTAGATAGTTTATGCTTTATTTGGTTATTTATGGTTATTTATTTTAAACTAAATTGAATAAAGCAAGTATCATAGATTGAAAGAGACACTAAATGAATTATCTTTGTAGTTGTTCCTCTACTTGTAGTGCTCTTCTCCAAAACCACATTATTGGCTTCCTCCCACAGTTCAGGCACCACCTCAAATGTCACTTCCTTAGAGAAGCTTTCTCTGAGCAACTTTGCTCTTGTCACTTCTGTTATCTTTCATGGCACTTGCCAGTCACTGAAATTGTGTATCTCCCAGCAAAATGTAAGGTTCCTTATTCACACTTGAAACTTCAATAACTAGTACCAAGAAGATTTTATATAATTTTTTTAGTACATAACTGAAGGTATCACAACATAATTATGAGAATTTAGTGTCCAGTTTGGTTCTCTTAATTTTTTTTAAAGATTTATTTATTTATGCATATAGAACTGGGGTACAGGCCAGAGGTGCAGGGGCAGTGAGAAGATTCACCAGAAACAGAGTGGGGATTAGAACAGGTAGATCAACGAAGTACACTGCTGAGGGGAGCATCGGGTACCACAGGAGAGGTCTGCCACGCCATGTGGGTCACCTCCAGGGCGGGGATCGAACGCTTACTGAAGTGGCTTTAGCCTCTTAGTGCTGTGCTTTAATCTGCTGTGCCACCTGGGAGGGCCCTGGTTGTCTTATTTTTAAAAAAGATTTATTTAGCTGTGCGTATAGGAACTGGGTACAGGCCAGAGGTGGGGTGTGGGGAGGGTGGGGTGAAAAGTTTCACCAAAGACAGAATAGGAAGCAGAACAGGCAGGCTGAGGGGAGCAGTGGGCAGGACGCGAGAGGCCTGCTGCACCATATGGGTTACCACACTGGCTAGCGATTGAACTCTTGCTGCAGTAGCTGTAGATATCTTCATAATGCTGTGCTTTAACCCATTGCACCACCAGGGAGGCCATGGTTCTCTTTATTTACATATGATAAAACAGAGGTTAAAGTAAGCTTTGTGATTTGACTAAAGCAGCAATTACACTAGAAGTCAACTTTGAGTCTCTTCCCAGGTCTTAATTTCATTAGATTTAATTGTACCAGCAAATATTTTTATTTAACAGGGTTTAAGGTGTTCTAAAAGATCAGATGCCATATGCCAAGTACTAGTAAACTTTTATTATATTGCTAAAAAGTCCCTCTCTATACTTTTTAACAGGGAGACACAGTGTTGACTATAAGTATAGCATGTGAACAAGATACAGGTAATCAGAATTTAAGCTTCATTACACAGGCACACAAACGTTTTGTTTTCAAAGGGAGAAATAGAGTGGCAGTGATATATATTTTGTAGTTTTAGATTCTAAACATATGGCCAATTGATACAAAGAAAAACCTAACTTATACTGGTCTACTGAGCTCATACATTTGTTTGCCAGCATTTAATTATGAATATCCAAAGTTATTTATAAATTCTTCATTGTGAAATTATTGGTCAATAGAAATCTTGAATGGTTATTGCAGTGAAGTTACAGAGATAATTTTTATTTTGTGTATGTGTCACTTAAGAGGTGACAAAAGCATTTATTTGAAAGGAAGATCAATAGGTCAGATATCTTCCAGCAAGCTTTAAAAAAACTGAAAAGTCCTTTAAAAGTTTGAATAACCAAAGCTTTGCTTTTATATTATCAAGTCTGTTTGTCCCAGATGGCACTTCTACTCTGCCACAGTTTATTAATAGATATTGAAGTTCTGAAATAGTTGGAGGCTCCAAGTCCCAACTAATAAATGTAAGATCTATGCTTGTTCTGTCATGTTCCAAATTTCTAGCCAGAGTAATGGCAGCATAGCCAAGGTCCATTCACATAGTCTACAGAAGAGGGCCACACCAAACTGACAAGTACAGTCACTGAACTAAAAATAACATGAATTGGGGACAAGAATTATTATATAGTAAGTTAAGAGCACAAGGGCACATACATCTTTTCTGTTTATGTAAAGTGTTCTGTTCTTTTTTTATTTAATGATCCGACAGATGAAAGAATGCAGTAGTTTTCTATCCTAAAAAAAATGCATCTTTAAAAGAATTCTTTCTGTAAAACACAGCTAATTCTGGTTTTGCTTTTTGTTTCAATGCTAAATTGCATGGAGATATTCTTTACATCATCTCATATTCTTTTGTTACATCTTTTATTAAGAAATTGAATTGCGGTTCTCCTCAGTGACTCAGGGGTTAAAGTCTCAGCTCTATCAAGCTATCACCAGTGACTGTAGCAGGAGTTCAATCCCTGGCTAGGGAGGTGACCCACATGGTGTCGCAGACCTCTCCAGTCTCCCTTTCTACTCCCCTCATCAGTGTATTTCAATAGATCCACCTGTTCTGCTCCCCACTCTGTCTCTGGTCAGTCTTCTCACACTCCATGTCTCTGGACTACACCCAGTTCTTGTATGCATAAATAAGTCAAATCTTTCAAAAACAAAAGAAACTAAATTCTGCTTTACTATTTAAGATTACAGCTCTGGACCCACAACAAAAGGACTAAACCACTGAGGGAAAGTTACATATCTTAATAGCTTTAATCTGAAAACGTTTTGAATCAGAAAACAAGTAAATTTGGAAGGCATTATTTCCAAATTGACTTCCCTTTTAAAAACAAAGTCCTCTTTGCATTCCTCTGTTCTTCTATTTTTACAAATCAGTGATTGAGAAAAGTATCTGAAATATTTATTTCTAGGTTCACCATTTTGGACAGATATATGTGAGGCAGGGAGATACTTAGAATTTGAATCCCTTTTTACCCTCTTGGTGAAAATTGACTTGGGAGATAATGTCTTCAAGAAAGTTAAACTGTTCTGACATGAATGCAAACCAAAAAGCATATTTATGAACATAAATTAAAAAGTGGCTTCCTTTGTAATTTGTAGTACTTTGTAATTTGAGTATTAGATTTTTCATTGTTAGTACTGTTACAGGACACCAAATCTGTTCCAGGACAGGGAGAGGGCACCCCAGAAGCCCCAAACCTGCCAGCTCTAAGTGGGTTCTGCCATCCGCCGCGTCAAGACAAAACATATAAAACTTTAATGAAAAGGGACTTTAACACAGTAAATATACAATATGGAACACAAAGGCTGTAACTTCTAAATC